GATATTTAAAAAAATTAATGTTTTCATGCAAAGTTTCAATAATCACTTTTTAATTGCTTATAAGGGTGTGATAATATAAGGTAAATAATAAAAGGTCTGGAAATTTTTAAATTCTTATTTTAGTATTTACCTATGACCAAAATTGAAAATCGAATCCCACTTCCCATAAATATTATGAGGTTGCAATCAAATGATACATGGGCTTCAATATAGTTTATAAAGAAGCTTTTCAAAACTTGTTATTGATTTTATATTTATGCTTGGAAGCTTTTTATTTCATTATGCAGTTTATTTCTATTTTTCAATAATGATACCAAAATAATTTTATAACGTAAATATGAACCGCGCAACACACGAGTGTTATGATAGTTCTCATTAATTTTAATGAGTGGTTAGGTGTATCCATTGTGGAAAGGTGAAAGACCTGTTTGACATCAGCGATAAAGATTAGCGTTAACATTAGCGATAAAGATTAGCGTTAACGTTTCGAAAAGGCTATCTGATGATAGCTTTTAGTGTTAGTGATTTCAGAATAAATCTACATTATTAAAATTTTATCTAAAATGCTAACACTATTCTTAAACAAGGCCGAAAGCACGTAGAAAGTGATATTCTTTTGAGAAATAAAGAAACTGGCAACAAATAAAACTCCAGAAATTTGGAAAATGGTAATAGCTAAATGAGATATAGAGTTTTTCTTTGGGAAAACAATTGGGAGTAAAAACAAAAGTTTTAAAAAGGCAATGTGTGGCTGCTGGGATTCGAGCCCAGGTCTCCACGGCCACAACGTGGAATTCTTACCACTAAACTACAGCCACAACTGCTAAAAGTATCGATATGTAGTTATATTATATATTTAATTTATTCAGTAAGATTTTCAAATTACTAACATAAGTTGATACTGCGGAGTAGTATTTTAGATTAAAATTATAAAAATATATCATTAGCGTGATGAATGCTGATAGTCATACCAAACCAAAAACCATGAATCTCACTCCACACACCAACTTCTCTACACTAATTTTAAATTGTTTTGAATATACATGAATACATATTATCTAAAAAATTTAAAATTTGGATAAAATATAATTTTAGCTTTTATTTTTTATAATAAATATATGTTAATATTAGATATGATATATTTTTAGAAATTGTAATTTTATTAATAATGCAAATTTATTAACATTAGTATGAATCTTTTTTTTTCTGAAAATCAATAAAAGGGAAAAATGGTTAATACTTTTATACGGAGTACAACTTTTTAATTTTTAAATAGAACTTGTATAGCTTTCTTTTTAAATAATAAAATAGTTATGTAGATAAAAAAATGTCAAAATATAAATTGGTATAATAACTAGAAAATTGGTGGAATATATATTGGTGTAATGCCTAGAAAAACATGAAATTCCAAATATGTGTCCAGTTTTTAAGATAGGAATTAGGGATGGAGTTAAAATCTTTATTTTAGAAAAGGCGCACACACACACACACACTATATATATATATATATATATATATATATATATATATATATATATATATATATATATATATATATATATATATATATATATATATATATATGTATGTATGTATGTATGTATGTATGTATGTATGTATGTATGTATGTATGTATGTATGTATGTATATGTATGTGTGTGTGTGTGTGTGTATAGTAATTAATTCTATTATAATTATAATATGTGGTCATATTTTCTTAGAAAAATAGAGCTAATGCCTCTCTTGGATATCAAATATAGGTGAACATCTCATAAGATTTTGGAGAATTGTCTTTCTAGAACTCAAGTCAAGAAATAAAGTGTAATAAACTTATAGTTAAATTATACCTATATTAAATTAATTAAACAAAAGACCTAACACGTAAGAGCAACTCCAATCGGGAGTGGATTAAATTGTAAGCTATAAACCAAAATACTTGGGGTAGCTTATAAGCACTGTTTTGGCTTTATAAAATACTCCCTCCGTCCCAAAGTACTATTGTCACTACTAGTTTTGTAGATCTTTTGATGTAGTATTTTAATATGTAATTTTTATTTTTTAACTATATACCATTTTTCATATAAAATGATTTGAAAATAATTTCAGTCAAACATCTTAAACCGAAACAGACGTTATAAAATGGGACGGAGGGAGTAAGTTATAAAATTTATTTCATGTTTTCCAACCACACTAGGTATAATATAGGCTCTTCATATTTTTTTGTGTTGAACATTTTATCAAACATGTTTTGTGAATTACCAAAAACTTAGAAACGCCATTGAATCAATGTACCCAATATGGAGACCTTTTTTGTGTTTAGTAAAAGCCTTATCTTAAACAAAAAAAAACACTTCACTCACTTTTGCAAAAGGTGTGGGAGTTGCTTTCATTGGGCCATAAAATCTTTATCGCGTCAGCCCAAACTATGGATGGGCCTATCTTAATTCAACACGGATAAATATTTTTATGTGAGGCCTCAATTCGGATTATCCAAAGTGTATGAATTATATAGGAGGAAGATCAAGACCCAAATTTGTGAAAACGGTTTATTTTTTGAACGACCAAGGCTTCAATACCATGTTTTATTGAAATATTTCTACTAAATACCACATTTCGTTTTGGTAAAAAAAAAAAGATCACAAAATCAATAAAATGAAAAGTGCTCCAATTGGAGGGGGTGAACGGGTTGGGGAGTTTATGGGCGAGTTACAGGAGATAAGAACGATTATTTTTACGAGCATAGTACTGTGGATATATACTTCAACTAGAGTATTGTAAGAATGGTTGGAAATGATCTTTAAACTTAGTTAGTCCTTCTAATATATTAACATAACACATTTCTTTCACACTAAACATTTTAATCTTGCGGAGTATTTGTACTTCTACCTTATTTTGTTCAGTCTGTAGAGCTTTTTCCCGAAACGAGAATTCACGATTTTTTTACAAAGTTTTTTCTTTGTTTTTGTTTTAGAGTACGGAGTATTCCATAGTGCGGTTATTGCCATTTCTTTATTAAAACTCTGTTTAACAAAATCGTTAGAGTTTAGCGTTAACGTTTTAAAAAGGTTATACAATGATAGCTTTTAGCGTAATTTTCTTCAGAATTACTTTACATCTTTATTATTTTATTCAAAGCGCTAATTAAATGGGACACATGACCAAAAACCTGATCTGGAAACATTGGGTTTTGAACAAAAGGTTTTGTTGACCGAACACGAAATGACCCGCTAAAAGCGGGTCAAACCCGAACCCGACCGACCTGCTACAATAAGAATTTTTCAAAATTATATGAAATACTCTCTCCGTTCTCAAAAACATTTCCTCTTTCATTTTTTTTAATTTCCAACAAAACACTTCCACTTTATATTAAAATACCACTTTTACCTTTACCTATTCATACCCTACCTATCACATCATACTTTTTCTCTAATAATCTATCCATCACATCTTACTTTTACCTATCCATCAGGGGCAAAATTGGAAGTCAACTATAATTTAATAATTTCTTATTTTTGCTCCAAGTCAAAATAAGAAGCCTTTTTGCAAACGGAGGGAGTATAATGTTATAAAAATAAGGTTATAATTATATTTTTTCTTACTATTCATGTTTAGAGTGTAAATTTATATCTTCAAACAAAATTTTAATGATTTTGCATAATTGTCTTACTTTTTTCCAAAAATTATACATTTTTTAAAGTTTTGATATTGATTTATATACCTAAAAATTGCTTCATAGTTTAAAAGAAAATAATAAAATATATTTAATACATATTGATTTATATTTTAATTTTATATAATGCAAAATGCAATTGTTAATATGAACTTAAAAATTTTAAAAACCAAAGTCATAACCCGTTGGATCGACCCGAACCCAATGATACTGTGGTCATGAACATACAGTTCTCAACCCGAACCCAAATTGACCCGAACCCGAAATAACCCAAACCCAAAGTAATCGAACCCAGATCCGACCTTACCGACCGCTTTGCCAGCTCTACTTTTGACATATTTTTTGATATATAAGTTTTGTTTTTAATCTCACACCAAATTTTTAATTTAATTACTTCAAAAAAATACTCCATCCGTTTGCAAAAAGGCTTCATATTTTGACTTGGAGCAAAAATAAGGAAGTGTTAAATTATAGTTGACTTCCAATTTTGTCCCTGATGTGATGGGTAAAAGTAAGATGTGATGGATAGATTATTAGAGAAAAAGTATGATGTGATAGGTATGGTATGAAAAAGTAAGGGTAAAAGTGGTTTTTTAATAGAAAGTCGAGCTATTTTGTTGGAATTGAAAAAAATTAAAGAGGAAGTATTTTTGAGAATGGAGAGAGTAAGATTTTATTTTGTAATGCAAAAATAATAAACAAATTTGGGCGAAGAGACTATGATCGAGGGATTTAGGGATATCCAAGGCCGGTCCCGGAAATTTGACGGCCTGGGCCAAGGCAGAAAAAAATGGCCACAATGAATTAAAGTAGGTAAACCTATATAATACTCCGGCTTAAGACTTTCTCATCGATATCTTCATCTCGTTTTCTCTTTTTACATATTTGACTACCAAATAGGTGTTCAGAATGCATAGGTGCGCTACTGAATTATTTAGAAATCAAATATAAATTCAGAAATTTTAACAATTAGTAAAATCAATACAAATTTTAAATTAGAGCTAAATTTGAAATAGTTTAATATCAAATCTAAAAGAATTATTCTTGCAAATGAAAAGAAGAACACATTAAATTAAAAAAAATCATAGCAAAGATTATAATTAATTAAACAATAACAAGTAATCCTAGATTTAATATATTAAAATCTCACTCTTTGAATCTAAATCATAAAAACATATTGTGCTAAAATTTTTCAATTAAGAGAAGATACGAACTGCAACAAATTCAAAAAAGGAGTTTACTTCAAGAAGTTAAAAAGAATGAAGACCTTACTAGTTTACTACTCTCTCCGTCCCTAAATAAAGTTCCTCTTTCGTGTTTTCTTTGTCCCTAAATAAACTTCTCTTTTTCCTTAAAAAACCCCTTTTACCCCTCACTTTTTCATACCCTACCTATCACATCATACCTTTTTACTAATAATCTACCTATCACATCTTATTTTAACACATCACATCAAGGGTATTTTTGGAAAGTCAACACCAAAATATCCCTCTCTTAAATCCTCAAAAAGTCAAAAATGGACTTTATTTAAAGACGGAGGGAGTATAATAACAATAATAAAAAGAAGACTAAAGAGTAAAGACAAAAAAGATTTACTTGCATCCGTTGGAATTTTCTTTTCTTGGAAGACTTAGGCCCCGTTTGGTACACGGAATTCAAACTATGGAATTAGAATTGAGAGCTTCAATTCCAATTCTGGTGTTTGGTAGCACAAAAATTATGTGCATTTGGAATTGATAGTGCAAAAAATGAATTGGAATTGACAGAATTCAATTCTATGGAATTGAATCCCATTAAATTTCAATTCTAATTCAATTATAATTCCATCAATTTCGTATACCAAATGAACCCTGAACTTTAATTTGAAGAGAAGTTGGCGCCCAAAATAATGTGGTATGGTGAAAATGAATGGGAGAGTGATGAAGTGTAAACTTGGGAATTATTCTATTTAGTTGAAGCGGAGATATGCTAAATTTTTATTCCCCTCCGTTCTAAAAAACACTTCCTCTTCCATTTTTTCCACTTCCAACAAAACACTACCCTTTTCTATTAAAAAACCACTTGTACCCTTACTTTTTTACACCCTACCTATCACATCATACTTTTTCTCTAATAATCTATTCATCACATCTTACTTTTAACCATCACATCAGGGGCAAAATGAAAATCAACTATAGTTTAACACTTTCTAATTTTTGCCCCAAATCAAAATGGGAAGGGTTTTTCCTAACAGAGGGAGTATTAGAATTTAAAAAGAAAAAAGAAAAACCTTAACTTTCACGAGGGAACCAGGCCACTTTCAAAGAGGGTGCATCTCAATACGTACAGCGGGCTATACAGGAATTATGGTACAATTGGGTATAGCAGTACTCATTTTGGGGTAAAGTGGTACTCATTTCGTACAAAATATAAGTGTTAGGGTTCATTCTGGAGTATAAGAATATTTATTTTGAAAAGACGTGGTGTTCATTTTGATTTAACGTAATGCTCATTCTGAAACAATGCATTGTTCATTTGCCCACATTTGTTCATTACAATTATTATATTCATTTATGAATAACGTAGTGTTCGTTCTGAAACAAAGTAGTGTTCATTCTCAAAGAATGTTGTGTTCATTCTCAAGTAACCTAGCGGTCATTCACTTCAGATTTGAAAAACATAATCCAATAGTCTGATTAAACTTAAAGTCCGCCCAACTAGCTAGCAGTCATCATCTTCATGGCATTACATTGCATCTATGCTCACTCCTGCAAATCTCGACAAGGCATCTTCATCATATCCCCGATCCATGCAGCCGCAATCAAGGTTTCCTCTGCAATGCTTCGATCGTTCTCCAATCAACGCAGGTAGAGTTTGCCATCGACGTGCTCTTTCGTTCCCTGATCGAAGCAGCTAGCGTTCACCATAACCCTTTATCTTCGTTTCTCGATCGTGCACCAATATATTGTACCACAAAGTATGTATAGCCGGTTGTACCATATAAATTGCGAGGGCATACAGGGTGGTTGAGACCCGCCTGCCCCGTCAGTCGTCCCCCCACCCTCATGTACGATAATACGATACGTCAATACCACCTTGTCTAAGCATGCAATTAGAAATGTGTCCTCAAAATAAGATTCCATAAATCTTGGAATTCATTGCCAAATTGGCTAAATATTAGAGTAACTAAATCTCAAGTACTATCTTCGATAATCTCCACACACACACAAAAAACTACTGAGAAACCATGCAACGTTATTTCAGGTTCTTCAATGCAATCTCTGCCGCTTTCCTAGATGACCATAATGCCCTCCAAAACTGTCAAAACCCAACATCGGATTTGGTGCCAACCTTTGACCACACAAATTCTCACCCTTGATGGGGACCGCGGGAGGGACGGGGAGTGACACCAGGCGAGGCGGATTGCGCCACCGCGGAAGCGGGCCCGTCACCATGACCGTCTGAAGCAGCGGGCCGGCTTCCAGCACCGCCTGGAGAAACTTCCCGTTCTGCGGGAGGGGTTTCCCCTCCCCGAGGCCCTCCATTATTCCTCCCCACATTTCCCCACCTTCGCGCGGAGGAGGAGGAGAGACGGCGTCCAGAAGCGACTCGACGGAGGAGGAGCGTCGGTCGGAGAAACCGGCGGCGTTCGACTCCGACGACGCCATCATCCCGGCGGCGAGGAGCTTCTGGAGGTCGTCCCTCGCTTCGTCTCTCTCTTTGCAAGTGATCTTCAGGAGATGGATCAGCTGTTTGGCGTACTCTCTGTTCCTCTCCCTTCCCTCCGCCGCTTCGGCCCTCAAACGGTCCAGTTCGAGACTGGCATGGAACAACATGTACTTTAATTCCTCCATTTCTTGATAATTCCATAACAATGAAGCAGCAAATTCTTCCATAGATAGATATTTCTTCTTTCTTCTTCTTCTTCTTCTTTCACTCTATAAGTCTTTGTTGTTAGTTGAGAGTGATCCAAAGAAGATTGGGAGAAATCTTTGAGGAGATCTTTTTGTTTAAATTTGGGAGAAATTAAAGAGTGGGAATAAATATAATGTATATATATGTATGTATGTATGTATATAGTAGAGAGATGATGAGAAGGAAAGTGCACATTAACAAGGCAACAACCAACGCTCGTCATGGAAAGTCAAATTATATTGGTGGTGTTGGTTATTATTTATTTAATTTGCCCTAATTTATTTTTATCTCTTTGCATTTTTAAGTTGGAGTTTACATGGGTTAAGTTAACCAAATTTTATAAATAAAATACATTTAGTTGTAATTTTAATTCAAAATCATTAAATTAATTTTGAAATATTATACTTTTTTGTTACTCGTAATATTTATTTATGTACTACCTCCGTCTCTGAAAACCTTTCTCCTCTCTTTTTTCATCCGTCCCAAAAAACACTTCTCATTTTTATTAAAAAATCACTTTTGCCCCTTACTTCTTCATACCCATCCTATCACATCATACTTTTTTACTAATAATCTATCCATCAAATCATACTTTAACACATCACATCAAAGGACATTTTTGGAAATTCAATACCAAAATACACTCCCCTTAAATCCCTCTTCAAAATCAAAACTCTCATGTTTTCCGGGACGGAGGGAGTATATATTTTTTGTAGTATTGACGTTCATATTAATTAGAGAAAAAGACTAAAGTAAGAGTAAAATATTAAAAATATACCAAAATAAGAGTTCCATGTTTTTATTATTTCTGAAAAGCAGTTAAAACGCATTTACATTATCAATCATGACCATATACATTACATAAAATGCACATGTATAGTGCAACATTATTACAACACAAACTTCTATTTGGAGAATAAAAACATGAAACACTTTATCTATATTTTAATCCGGATGGTTTCTTTATTAATTATCATTATGTATATTTTTAATTATAAAAATGGTTTGTTGTAATGGAAACAAAATAAATATGGCTCCCACAAATTCAGAGCCGGATTGACTCGTCTTACTATAATAAACACGTTCACTTCTCTCACTCTATCCCCATATTTATGGTATGTGTGTGTGTGTTTGTGCATGTGTATGAATATTCTCTTTTTATTTTTGGATCATTTTTTTTAATTTTTAAATCACCACATGGTCAACAAATGTATATCCAATAATTGCATTTTGGATCACGGCACAATAGCCCGGTTTAAGAGTACTGAAAAATACCGGTGGAAATTTTAAAACTTTACATCTTAATTAATATTGCTAAAAATGTTTCTCTAGCATTTTTTCCTATAATCCACTCATTTTTTTTGTTTCTTTAACTTCTTGTAGCCAATCATTTTCAACTTTTGGCTTATAATAAAAAGAATATATATTGTATTAGTTAAAAATAATATTTTGAAATATTTTATAAAATAAATTTCAGAAAATTGTTTTTGTCTTAATATCTAATTAATATCACTTTTTGTTTAATTTGAAGTCAAAATTTGTCAATTTTGACAGAAAAAGTCAAAAATAGTCAAATAATTAGGGACTCAGGGAGTAATAATATTTTTTTACACAAATCCTTACAAGAGTATACCGGACCATTGTATAATAATTAAACTCTATTATACATTTAAAAACTTAAATTTAAATTTTAAAAGTTCAAAAAAATAATAATAATAATTGAAGACAAACAAAACTGTTGAGTTGTGACTTTTGGAATTAAAAGATAAAAATAAATTGAAGAAACTATTTTGTGTTGTAGCTAAAACTAAAAATACGGAGTATATATTTAAAAAAGGCAAATTACCTGAAATAATTTCATATTTTTTTTCAATTTTCAAAAAATAAGCTCTTCATGAATTACCCGTTAGGTGTTAGGTATCTACCAGTGGAGTTAATTTTGACTGACCGCAAAAAGATAAGATTATTTTCTGAAATCTTACATGTTTCTTTATGGCTTTTTTTTCATTTATTTTGATTGTCTGGCTCAAAATACATATTGTTAAGGAGTGGGTACATTGTTAAGTGTAATTAAGCAAGGAAAATTCTCCATCTAATCTAGCCGTCCAAACCTATTTACTCCGTAGTTAGTAGAAAGATAATTTAAATAAAACATGGCCAACCACCCCTAAAACATAAGATCCACTTAATTAATGTATAATTCTTTACTTCAAGTAATCAAGTATTGGATTTTATTTACATGACGGCCAATAGTGTTAGAATATCCCAATCGGAAAATAAAGATAAAACAAATAATGGGTTTATATATGATTTTAAATTGAACTAGACATTCGATTGAACTCAAACTTTTTATGTGATTTAACTCGAATTTCTTATGACCTAGTCCACTAATCTCTACCTATTGTAAATTTATGAAATGGAGATACAATTTTAAACTACATTTAGCAGAGATGTTGACGTTACGGTCGATGTGTGGGCAAAGGAGGTTGAATAAGATTCAAAACGAGATTATTCAGTGGCGGTGGCGGTGTGAGTGACACATGTGTAGGTGATTCATTTATATTGCCAAATCTTTGAGGGTTTAAATGATTAATACATCTCTTTACAAAAGAGAAATACGAGTAATATTTTGAAAAATAAAATCAATCATCTTCACCTTACGCAAAACGAAATAAAATTTTAAGTTTTTCCAATTTATTTTATTTAAAGATTCGTATATAAATAAAAAATAAAACTTACGTATTTAAAAACTACATCAAAAAATCTACAAAACAAGTAGTAGTGATGATGATAAGAATATTTTATTTTATCAAATAATCAATGACAACACACAAATAAGCAAAAGTTGCCGCGACTTTGGAATAGTGAAGAAAGAAGATAATTTTGAGATCATTATCCAAAAATTACCGTGATTTTGGAATAGTTACCATTAAAAAATTATCCAAAGCTCAAACTGAAACTGATGTTAGTTCCCAAACACGTCCTAATACTCAAGAGATCATGGTTAAAAATTAAAATAATGTGAAATATAGTCTAGTTGTATAACTACCCTCCAAAGTTTTTATTTAACACTAACAGCTCGCCATCGTCGTGCCCATCATGTTCTGTTAAAATATTAAAATCTTCATGTGCTTTAATAATTCCTTGATAAACCTAAAGAAAAACATGCAAAATTGCTAAATGATTTAATTACTCTATTAGTCAAGTTTAAACATTGGAGCTACTAAATAATATTTCACGATCACCCCGGTTCCCATGACATTGCTCATGGGATGATCCGGTGCCATACGATGCTCCGTTCGTAAAATTGACGATTTACCGGGAGGGTTAGGAGGGGTAGGAACCGTCAATTTTACGAACGAAGCACCGTACGCTCCCGGGTCATCCTATGACATTGCTAACACCGATAAATGTACAGTAAGTTTTATAATCTTACCAGTTTGTTCATGATGAATTAAAAATAAAATTAAAAATTCCAATGATATTATAATACTATCAGTATTTGAATATGAGGCATTTTTGGTCAACTTATGAGGTAATATAAATATGAGCCTCAAGCCTAGACGAGAATGGAGAGGGCAGCACAGTACTATCTTTACCATTTCCAGAGGTGAAAAAGCTTTGCAAACAGAGAGAAACGAAAGCGAGAAAATGGCGTTTCCGAGAATTGCCATTGGGAATTCGAGGGAGGTTAGCGAGCCAGATGCTCTCAGAGCGGCGCTGGCCGAGTTCATTTCCATGTTTATCTTCGTGTTTGCCGGCTCCGGTTCTGGCTTGGCTTTCAGTAAGACTCTGTTCATTTGGATTGTAACTTTTAACTTCCAACATTTTCAAAGTCTTTAACTTGGTTTTTATATGTGAATTGTTTGTTTGTTCAATTATCCCCATTAGATAAGCTGACAGACAACGGGCCAGCCACGCCAGATGGGCTGATTTCTGCATCCATAGCCCACGCATTCGCGATCCTAGTGGCGGTTTCGGTGGGGGCCAACATTTCCGGGGGCCACGTAAACCCTGCGGTGACATTCGGGGTTTTCCTCGGGGGCCACATTACGCTCTTCAGAAGCATCATGTATTGGATAGCCCAATTGTCGGGCTCGGTTGTTGCGTGTCTTATTCTAAAGTCTGTCACAGGCGGGATGGTGACATCAGCTTTTGGGCCCTCAGACGGAGTGGGCCCGTGGAACGCCGTTGTTTTGGAGGTGGTGATGACTTTTGGGCTGGTGTACACGGTGTACGCCACTGCGGTCGACCCCAAGAGGGGAGAAATTGGGACAATTGCCCCAATTGTCATAAGTTTCATAGTGGGGGCTAACATACTGGCTGGTGGGGCCTTTGATGGCGCGTCCATGAACCCCGCGGTTTCATTTGGGCCGGCTGTGGTCAGCTGGACCTGGGCCTGCCACTGGGTATACTGGCTCGGCCCGTTGCTCGGTGCTGCCATTGCTGCCCTGCTGTACCAAACCGTTTTCATCTCCACCGACACCCACCACCAACCCATCCCTATCTCAGACTGCTAAACAATCATTTTCGCCTTTCGTTTGATTCAACAAAGTTTGTATGGCTTTTGCCATTTGTTGTGAAATAAGTTTCAGAAACAACTCTTGAATTTTCATTACATTCTGTTTGTATCACATTTATATATTTGAGATACACATAAAAAACACATTAAAGGTTGAGAATGGGACTCTTTATACAAGCCTAACCTCTTTTTCTCTTCTGGAGTTTACCCAATTTCGAACGGCGTTGCTTGAATAGGTGCAGGTAAAGTTTGAGCCATAAAACTGGATATAAGAGAAGCAATACCTGCATCCAAATGAGTTCATAAATTAGCCATTTTTGCATTACAATTTAGAACCAAAAGGCTTTAGTGCCTATAAAAACTGTAAGAAATGAACTTCTAAAGCATATGCTGAGTTAGACATACCACAACAAAGTTATAATAGCTGAAAGGGAGGAAATCTCTATACAGATTTCTCTCTTTTATAAAAGGAAGTGCCTGATACATGAGCCACACTGCAAATAAGAAAACATAATCTTTTAGAGCAATGAAATTGGATTATCAAAACTAATGACGTACTATTTTGTCTAAGATGGTTTAGATCTTTTGCAATTTAACAGTGCTTACTTTCGCCCGGTGCGACTCCAATTGGATACAACACGATAAACACAGTGTACCTAACCAAGAATAGCGAAAAATCATACAATCTCACAAAAACAAACCTTCGTACACCGCTAAAATTGTCAAACAAACCTGAGGAAAGTGACCCAATAAGGTGGAGTGCTAATAATGCAATTCAAGGCATAATGGGAATATCTAATTACCTGCATCCAAACAATCCTACAACATAATCCCAATGAAAAAAATTACGGGTTCAATATGAACCTTTAAGAAAGATAGGGGAGTTACTTCAGATAGGCTCCAAGCGAAAAATGTTATGAAAACCGCTGGCAATTCTTGGACCTAAAGCAACAAGCAGCAAAAATAACAAATATGGAGTATGTTGACAGATGTTTCACAAAATAAATCATAATGTACTTGGAAACTAATTTCTTTTTCAAAAGACAACAAAGATTATATTGAAAAAGCCATAGAAGTACAGAGAAGTGAAAATGTAAGAGGTAAATGGTAAACTCTGTGAAGTATCAATCATGATGTACACAAAAACTGAGCTTTTAAACTAAAAAAACAACAAAAAAAAAAGATTGATAAAGCCATAAAGGGTTAGAGAAGTGAAAATTTTAAGAGGAAAACCTCGTTGATCGACCACACAAGAGCTAATAGGAAATGAGTTCTTCCACCCCATTGCATCAAAGGAAGTAAAACTCCACTAGGAACAATCCCTTCAACCTCAAACACAAATTATTAACCCCAAGCGAAGTTCCTTTCAATAATTAAGTGAGAACCCATCATCAGAAATAAGTAAGAACCCATCATCAGAATTTACCTATAGCGCCATGGAAAACCTCCAAGAATGCCACACTTTGCAGAAAACCTACCAAGAACACACGAATATAGAACATAAAATTGCAAATGCATATGAAATCTATACACCAAGAATAAAACAGATTTCTAGAAATTACAAATTAGCTCCCCAGCAGAAGCATAAGCTCCATTGACAGACTTCGTGGAGGAGAAGCTAATCAAGATTCTCCAAAGAGAAATCGCCCTGCACGTGTGTTTCGTTAGCTAGCTAAACTATTGCTGTGGAAGGCGTGAAGGTCAAGCGAGAGGGTTACAGAGACGAATTACCATCCGATTGCCTGAAGAGAGTTGTAGAGGAAAAGGTAGACGTTGTGCAGTTTAGCCGCCATTTGCGCAGCTTGAGGATGGCTTCGCCTTGTAGCCTGGAGGCCTGGATGAGAAAGAAGACTCCCCCGGACGTAAGGGTTTCTAAGTTTCTTAATCTCAGCCTTGTATTTTCACACACCAGCAAACACAAGATTTGTATGTGGTTTTTCTTTGGTTTCGTTTCAGGGAAGATGGAGTAAATTTGCTCTCATCCCACCCATCTATTAGTTCAAATATGTTGACATAAAATCTCGAGACATGCTAGGGGTACAAGATGTATTCCAATTGTACACCACATGCTTCTCCACCACACATCTTTTTTGATTTTTATTTATTATTTTTTTTTAATTTCTTGCCAATTATTGTGGACAAGGAGGGAGTGGGGGACATTTGGAGTACAACTTTAGCATTTTTCTAAAATCTCTTCTCTAAAGATGGAGTAGGAGTATTTCTAAATCTAACGCCTATCTTGCTCCCTACTCTAACAAAGTGCGATCTCTCTTTCAGATCGAGTTTACTCGACTATCATTCGGATTTCAATTTTCAATTGATAATATGAGTTTCGATGGTCTGAATCTATATACAGACAGAGTATAACCGAAAATTAATAATAGTAATTGATGGTGTAAATTACCGCGCAAATACTAAGTATAAGTGATCGGAAGGGCTATAGGTGGAAACACATGTAACCCGGTTTGTTATTAATGATAATAGGAACTATTACAAAGTACCAGCCGTATGGATTAATGAAAGCATGCCTCACAAATGAGGCTTTTAGTCCTATTTATAATAAAGAACAAGCACGCCAAGCACGTCCCGACGTTACTATTCTTCCGGCCGGTCAGTCTTCAAGTTATCCACCTGGTCCCTCGAAGAGGAAAGACCAAAGGAAGTCCCTCGAACGTTTATTTCTTTTTGGTTATGATCAAAGAACTTCGGGTTCAACACCACTTTCTAGGCGAAAGAGCTCCTGCCCCGCTAAATACTTCCGCTGCAATATTAGCCATGCTTCAGGGTTGGCCGGAAGATGTTGAGAAACGGGTCTCCAAAGCGGCTGATTATTAGTCAAACGTGTCAAAAAGGCGGGGCAGTCTTCCGGGGTTGGTGACGTCAGGCGGGGCCAGAATTTGGTACCCCCAGAAGTATGTGAACTTGCCAGATGGTTCCAGTGGGTTATATCCATCAGTAATAATAATGAAATATATGAGGTATATTGGACCTAACTCATTTTACCGTTGGGTCAGTCCCAATGCTTCATGTGTAACCTAAATCAAAAGAGATAATACAAGAAATTACATTTAAGAGTAGGAGAAAATTATGTCATAGGAAATACCAATATAATACATGTCTTCTCTAGATAGTTTATCATTTATACTTCTCAATATAAATCTCAGTCAGTCACCTTACAAGTCTTTTACAATTCTCTTATGGTATATTTGAGAACATGGATTTGGATTTTAAATCCGGATTTAGCTCAATTGTCATGTTTGGGAAACTTAAAAAATTTGAATTTGGATTTAAGTCAAATTCTTCTCATTCAAAACAAAGCTTAATTTGAAATCCATGCTCCTCTTGTCATTTGAATTTCAAGATTTTAAATTTTGGAATTGAAATGAATGAATTGAAATAAAATGCTAATTGCCAAATACTACCTTAATTAAAATTTTTCATTTACGTCCTCTATACTTCGCTTTCTTCATGAGTACCCTTCATTATTCATGTAATTCTTTCTTCTTTTTTTCTCAGTGGGATCCCTTTAGTTCTTGTCAATTTTTTCTATCTTTCCTTGGAAACTTAAAATGCCAAGTGTTAAAGTTGCTCATTGGATGCATTTACCTTCTCATGTTGCCAAGGTTGGCTAAAGTTATCCCCCAATCAGATTGTCTTACTGTCATCAAACACCTTTAGCAGCCTCACTTTGATAATCTCTCGTCGGTTTCTTTTATTATTAATTCTTGTTCTATTAAGCCTTTAATCATTTCCAGCTCTAAAATTGGCCGAAATATACTCCTTCATCCTGAATTGGAAGCTGAACTTTCATTTTTAGTTTGCCCTAAAATAATTGTCTTATTTTTTCTTTTCTAAAGTAATAGAAAATAATATGGTCTGCAATCTTTTTATTTCTTCTAATTAAATTTTAATTACTCATTTTTTGTTTTGTACCATTTTTTTAAACTTCTTGGAGTCTAGTTATATATAATGATAAATTTGAGACGAAAGAAGTAGCTACTATATCGATTGGTCAAAAATAAGTCCCCATGTTGCAGCTTTTAGTCATTTCTTTGCCCGGTGTTGTAACTTAGTTGGTATTGTGCTATAAAATATGGTAATGTACGGGTTCAACTAAATGTAAGAGATTGGTTTTTAACTTATTCTTATTAAAATCAAATTTAGAAATAATTTTATAATTCCTCCGTCTCACAAAACATTACCCATTTTGAATAGCATTTTGTCAAACAGTTACACACTTTGACTACAAGTTGTGAGAAAAGTATATTGAATTATAATATAATTTAATATAATTGGATTCGTCTTAGAATCTAATTTTGATGTATCAAATTTTTATAACATTTTTTTATTTAAATTATATTTAATTTATGGTCAAAGTGTGTAATGATAAGTCTATTATTTGTGCATGTGTTTTTATATTTTTATTAGATTTGTTGACTTTATTTTTAAATTAAATTGCATTACCTTGGGTGATATTATAATTTTGGACTGATTTATTTTTATGGTTTGATTTTAGAGTTCAATTATAAGGGAAGGACCAATTAGCAAACTTGTTAGAAAAATTGGTCTATTTTATAATTTCTAAAAGTTTATTTTGTTTGAAGGGTGCTGGATTGGGAAAAAGGAAAGGAAGCGGAGGACGGGACGGAAAAAGGAGGCGGAAGAAGGACAGGCGGAGGCAGCACTTCTTCGATCGACGCTGGGATCGGGAACCAGAGACGCGGAAGACCGGAATCCTTTGCCGCTGGGCTATCTCCGACTGCATAGCACCGGCGATTTCGACGGAAACTCCAGTCGACGTAGCAGCAGGCAGTCAGGCACGGGCGAACTCCAAAATCTCCGGCGAACTCTAGTCTCCGCCGAACAGTCGCGATTGAGGGCTGATTCCGGTCCTTTTTCTTCACCCCTCTTTGTTTAATATACTAATCCTAGATTTTATATATTATCTTATTGTTGACTCTACCTTTGTTGTTCATTGCTAGATTGCTTTCTTTTAATGCATATATGTGTTCTTGTGTTATGGTTACTAGACTCGTACACGTGCGATGCACGGACTATTATTTAACATATAATTATTCAATGTTTTGAATAAGGAAAAATGTTACAAAGGAAAATATTCCCTCAGCGATGCACGGGGAACATTTCATTATTATATTTATCATTAATTACAATTTATTTAAGAGTTTAATTAATAAGGAAAATATTCTCTCAACGTCACAAAATCAAAATTTTAAGACCTTGACGATTTGTCACTCGAGAAAATGTAACGTATAACTGTTTATGACTAAAGACCGTTATTTACAGTAGAAGACTAACATGCTCCAGGGATTGGCTTTGACTTTTATTTGTTGTCATAGCGTATGGGGTAATTATCGGAAATTGTTTTCTCTTAAATATTAAAAGAAATCCTCGAATCCGAAGGTGTAAGTGCAAGTCTTGGAATCACAAACTCCTTTCGAGCATGTTTTTTGTGCAACATGTCTTCAACTCCTCACCAACATTAAGGGCAGTCATGTAAATTCTCCATTCACTATCCACAGGTCTAAATTCTCCATTCACTATCCATGGCTCTAAATTCTCCATTCACTATCCACATGGCTAAACCTTTTTTATTTGATAAATTTTTATAATATGCTTTGATAAAATAATATTGTCATGTCAATCTCTAGTTTTATAGATTTTTTTATGTGATTTTATTATATCTACTATTAAATTTTTAATTGAATAACATTTGTCATATAAAATGATATAAAAATAATTTTAATCGAAAAATAAGTAAGTAAACTCAGTTTATCTCATATTTCCATTATTATTTTTTATTTAAAACACAAAATAGTTTCTTATTTAATCATAAATATAATGTTAAAATTTTTATTGACAAAAAATTAAAAATGGACAAATATTATGAACACAAATATATTTAAAGATAAGCCCATTACTTATTCAGGCCCAAAAACCCATCCCTATCAGAATACGGAGTATAAAACTTTTTTACATGAAAATTTTTTGTATCCTATTTGATAAAATAATATTGTAAAGTCGATCTCTAGGTTTATAGATTTTTTCATGTAGTTTTTTTATATGTAATTTTAAATTTTTAATTGAATAACATTTGTCATATAAAATGATTTAAAAATAATTTCAGTCAAACATCGTAATGCATAATGAGAAGTTTATTTCTGTACGCAAGTAGAAAAAAATAGGGTAGTAAACTCACTTTATCTCATATTTCTAAAATTATTATTTTTATTTAAGACACAAAATAGATTCTTATTTAATCATAATTATAATTACATAATTTTTATTGACAAAAAATCAAAACTGGACAAAAATTCTGAATACAAATATTTAAAGATAAGTCCATTACTTATTCAGGCCCAAAAGCTCATCCCTATCGGAATATATAAGCTTCCCAGCCTAGCCCTAATTTATTTTCAACCGCTCTTTACTCTCTCTCTCTAATCGCCGTTTACTCTCTTTCTCTCATCGCCATGAAGAATTTTTTTGGAGATATCGGTATTGGCGATTCATATATCGCAATATGTGATATTGTTCAACATCATTTTTTGTAAGTTTTTTTGGATTCAATTTTTTTTATTTCAATTCATCTTTTTTTAGTAATTCCGTAGATCGGAATTAAATCACGGGATGTATATACGTATATATTCTCAAATTTTTTAAAGATCTTTAGATCTTTATATATGAATATACATACATACATACATACATACATACATACATACATACATATATACATATATATATATATACACACACACATATATATATATACATATATATACATATATATATATATATATATATATATATATATATATATATATTAAGCTACTGGGATTCGATTTTGACATGTATGAATCAGGATTGTTGAGTTAATGTTTTAATGATTTTTTCATTTTGATTCGTTAGAAGTAATTCTTAACATCGGATTGGCATGAGATCTTTACCTTTTCAATTTAGATTCTTTAGATCTTTATATATGTCGATTTACTTCAATCAATTTATATATAGTTCTCTCTCACAATTTTTCTCTTAATCCACACTATTTCTTCATTTTTTTTCATTAATTATGACAGTAGATTTTGAATCTGCACATTTTATTCTCAAAATATGTACAAATTAAAAACCCTATATATTGTGGAATTTTATTTGGTTTGTTATTCTTGTTCTTTGAATCTGCTAACTACTAATTGCCAATAAAGACTATTATTTGTGACAAATTTGTTGCTAATGAACTCGTGGTGTATATATATATATGGCTGTGATGATATTGAAATGGTGAAATTGGAAGGCTCATTCTATACGAATTATAACCGCACCGCGATGTTTCTTGTTGTCTACGTCTTGGAGTAAACGCCATTGCCCAAGACCTACCATTGACTTGAGTATTTTTCTGGAAATAAAATGGATTTGATTCTGCGATTATTAGAAGTGGAATGTGATGTTTTGAGAATTAGAAACTGGGATGTATTTGTAACAGTTCAAAGCTGTATGCAAGTGATGTATATTAGGGTTTAAATAGTTTCATGGGCCAATTTTGCCCATAAAAGGTAGCCCATTTCTTGATTTTTTTTTTCTGCAAAATGCATTAATTGTCCAAATCTTTTAAAGATTTCAATCTAAATATTTAATGTTGATAAGACATAAAGTAATCTTTACATTAAAAGTAGAGATTGCTTTTCACTACAAGAATTTGTCAAATCTGCAATGGACAAATTCTGTCGGAGATTTGGAAATTCCGTAGCAGATTCATAATATGCAACGGACCTGCGACAAACTTTGTCCGTCGCAAAAAACTTGTCGCTAGGCCAAAATAAATAAATAGATTGAACTTCATTAAAATTGACAATAAATTTAAATGGCATAAAATTAAAGAAAAACCTTATTTGGGAGGATGTTGAGACTGTCGTTCGGAAAATGTGGGGAGGCATGGCGCAGCGAGGAGGTGGATGGCAGCGCGAGGTGAAGGATGGCGGTGCGACGCGAGGCAACGAATGGAAGGGCAGTGTAGCAACTGGTAGCTTCAAGATGTAGAATATGCAGCGACGATCGAGTTGTTTCAGGAGGCGGAGGCGAAAGGTCAGGTGATGGACGGCGCCTAGAGACGAGCAGCGAGGAGGCGAGGCAGCAATCGGCGTAGACCAAAATCGGCGTAAGCGGCTGCAACGAAAAAAACTAGGGTTGTTTGTGGTAGGCTATAATCCGAAAAGAGGATAAGGTTTTTGTTAAGTAAACTTTTGCTAGGGAATTTATCAATTTGTAGCAGATTTGCGATGGATACTTGTGCTCCGTAGCAAATATTAAGTGGGTTTTCAAATTTGAGATTTCCATCGCAGAGTCATAGCAGATTTGCGACAGACTAATGTCCGTAGCAAATTGTCGTTGCAGATCTAGCTTATTCTTAGTGTTTTCGGCTGTCGTGCTCACACTGTCCGAGGGGCCTCGTAAAAAATTAAACCCGTACACCAAGTAGGCCCAAATGCATCCAATAAATAGGCCCAAACTTGAACCACAAAGCAGGCCCAAATCCATCCACCAAGCTCTCACTTTAGGCGGGAACACTATTCACAAACTTCACCTATCATTGTATATAGTAGGATGTTTCTTGAAATCATGAGGAACTAAATATTTAGGTTTGGGTGTTGGATTGTCAAGGGTTGATGAATAGTATGCTTTGATTCTTACTTCCCTACTTGTTTGTGTGCACCAAACAAAGTGTGGTTTTGGAAATGAGTTTTAAATCACTAAGGAATTGAGGTTTAGAACTCGTCTTAGTTCTTCACTCTCAAATTCCTTCCATGGAAGTGGTTATGAATTTGAGGAGTCTTGTTTACTTGGGTATTGTCTCGGTTGAACTACCAAAGAATTGGAGATCAACATAGACGATTGAATTATTTTACCATGGAAATGGAAAAGAAATTCTTGTTAGACTCACTACTCTCTTTGATTCCCCGAATAATTACCCTTTTTTAGGCAAATCATCAACACTTATCCCCCAACATCCAAATCACTTTCTCAATTATCTATTTCAAATCTTTACATTGTGTTTGTTTGGAGGTAGGGGTAGAGGGAGTAGATTTAATATTCTACCTTGTTTGGTAACAAAAATTGAGATAGATCAAGAGAGGTAAGAGGAGGTAAAGGGAGGTAGTGTTACCTCTGAACAATAGAATTTAGGTGACCGCCAGATTGGCGAAATAAGAAATATCGAGGTAATACCCGCAGCTATCCTCGCCGTACCGATAGAAAACTAATCTCCATCTTCATATCTCCATCCTCGTCTTCCGATTGCCATCTCCAACAAGACGAGGTATTCCGATTTTTTCCCTTCAATTTTCAATTTTTTCCCGTTCTGCCTTTGCGTCGTTCTGTCGTTCCATTCTGGTTTCTGGGCGACTCTTCTCGGAATCGGAAGGTATTTAATCCTCTTATTTCTCCCCTCTGTTTTTGCATGCAATCTCAATCCCTTTTTTCCGCATTGCAACCATGAAAAGGGCTTTTTGCCGGGTTTCCTCCATGAATGCTCAAAGATCTAGCCTTTTTTTCTTCTGGGTAGAAATTTATTCTGGGTTTTTGTTGTTTGGCACTTTGGCTGGAACTTTTTTTTTCGTTCTGCCCTTGCTCACGGATTTTCTTTCTACACGGATTTTGCTTACTTTACTTCAATTTTTTCACTTTTTTTGCTTACTTCACAGATTTTGGTTCTGCATAGATTTTCAATTTTCTAGTTTCACAAGGATATTTTAATAATTTTATTCTTCTCCTACCTTACGTTATCCAATAAACATCCAAACACAATTTTTTAACTCATTACCTTCAATTACTTACCTACAATTACCTACCTTCAATTACCTACCTTTACCCACCTAATAAAAATTTTACCTACCTCCAACAAAACATACCCTTAGTTATTCCTTTTGTTCTTTTGATCTTGTCTCTTCAACCCTTTTCTAGACTTAGGGGCTGTTTGTTTCAGCCTCTTAATGGTTCAAATGTCTGAATGGTTCAGCACTTAATGGTTCAGACTGTTTGTTTCAGCCTCTTAATGGTTCAGATGTTTGAATGGTTAAGAGATTTGCCTCTGAATGGTTAAGTATTATACAGAGTCTGAATGGTTAAGACCTCTTATCTGAATTGATCAGACATTTGCCTCTGAATAGTTAAACAATATACTAGCTCTTAATGGTTGAGACCTCTTACTGGTTCAGCACTTACCTATTCAAAAGTTGCCAAACAGCCCCTTAAAATCACTATTATTAGTAGTTCAATTAGTGCTTGATTGGCTAAGGGGCTTTTTGGCAACTTCTGAATGGGTAAGTGCTGAACCAGTAAGATGTCTGAATCATTAAGTGCTGAACCAGTAAGAGGTCTGAACCATTAAGAGCTAGTATATTGCTTAACTATTCAGAGGCAAATGTCTGATCAATTCAGATAACAGCTCTTAACCATTCAGACTCTGTATAATACTTAACCATTCAGAGGCAAATCTCTTAACCATTCAGACATCTGAACCATTAAGAGGCTGAAACAAACAGTCTGAACCATTAAGTGCTGAATCATTCAGACATCTGAACCATTAAGAGGCTGAAACAAATAGCCCCTAAGTACTTGACCTCTTTATAGCTATCTTCTGCGAGAACGACAAAAATACTTACCATTTTTACCACATAAAAATACATAAAAAACTCTTCAAATCATGTAACTATTTGATCAAAAATATATCAAAATGTGTAATGTTTTATGGTACTAAGGGAAGGGAGTACATAAATACGGAGTATAATCAAATCAGACAAAGATCAAACATTAATAATAATGAAAAATTATCAAGAAAATTACTCGTGGGTGACGCGAGTTTTGTCGAAATAACTTTCAGGTCCTTCTATTTTCAAAAAGACAACCGAGGTCCTTATATTTTGTTGTAATGACTAGGAGGGGACATTTCATCCAATACATCATCCGTAAGTATTAATAAATGTATTTTTTTTTCCTATTTTTCCAATACCGTTTTTTTCTATTTTGCCATTACTTTGTTTTTTCTTTTTTTAATTTTTTTTTCATTTGTTTTAATACAATACAAGCAATTTTGAATTTTTATACGATTTTATTGAAAAAATTCTAAAATAACACTTTAAAAAATAGTAATAAAATGAAAGAAAAACAAAGAAATAAAAAAAGAGCGACCTAAGATATACTCCATATTATCTTAAAACATTTAGAAAAGAATAGGAAAAAAATACATTTATTAACGATGAATATTGGATGAAATGTCTCTTTCAAATCATTGACATCTGCTGTCTTCTTGCTTGAAAATAGAGGGACATTTTCCCAAAATTATCCAGGTCGTTAGTGAAAGACCAAGATGAGTTCGTCTTCGTCCTTATATTTGTTCTGAGTTCATATAAAAGATGTAAATTTTTCTTACAGTTTTTTGGCAAAGAGCAATTTCTCAAAGCTCATTAGGATGGAAACAGACGATCCTCACAAAAGCACATCTTCTCCGGTAAACGACGGCGGCCTGGTAATTTCAGCAACCGATTCAATCCATTCGTTTCTCTCCGCTTCTACGAAGGACCCTGACCTCACTCAAGACCTGAGGGACATCGCCGGCGCGCTCTCTCCCCGACCATCCCTGCCCTACAGAGCTCTGCGATCCATCTGGATCGGATCGAACCCGTCTCGAAGACCCGAACTCGTCTCTCTCCTTTCCGGTTCGGGTTTCGTGTTCTCAAGCCCTAAGCCGAGAGAGAAGAGCGAGGAATTGAAGGCTCGACTGAGGAAGCTGGCGGAGGCGTCTGAGAGGAAAGCATATGAGGAATTGGTGAAGGACATAACCCCCAAGAAGAAGGTGGAAGAGCCTTTCTCTTCTTACAAGGATCAATTGGGATTTGGTAAGTCCTCTGTATGGCATTATTTCACTCTCATCTATTTGCATTGCTAGAGAAGATTTTGATTAGAAGGATGTGTGATTTCTACATGAGATTATGCATTTCTGTGGCTCTACAACATAATGGCTTAAATCAATGATGCAAAAGGACTCCAAAGTAAAGTTCTTCTTCCTATATGTCACTTGGTTTTCAGATGGTAGATTAACCATATAGATCTTGGGAGTTCTTTCTAATTGTTTTTTGTTTACGATACGATGATTAGTATCAGAATAAGAGCGAGCCCCGGCCTCCAAAATCTCAATAAAGCCTACCTAGCACCGGAGAATTGGTTACACACCTCTCTTGAATGGCTCAGTTTGATGCATCCGAGGCACACAAATATGAATTAAAAAAAGTGTTTGCTTATAAGATGGCAACACTATCTTAATTATATGTACATTGGATGAGGCGAAGAATGATTTCTGGATTCATATATAAATTATGTGACTTTATGTCTTACTATATAGTTTCAATATATACCCCCTTTCAGTTTTTGAGTGCATTCTACATTTCATAATCAATATGTGACATTGTTAATGTTGATATGTTTATTGTATTCTAAAGAGTGGAATCTGGTGTGTTGGGCAGGATTACACGTTGTGCTTATTATGTTCACTGGGTTTTTGGTGGGATACGCTGCATTCACGGCTTTATTTAGCCACAGTCCTGTCATGGTAATTTTGATGGCTTCTTTTACTCCCTCCGTCCCAAAAAATCGTGATTAGGTTTACGACGTTTGACTGAAGTCATATTATATTTGATTTACAATATTTCTTAATAATTGGTCGTCCTTCCTGTTCTATGTTCAGAGTGCTGCTGGTGGTATTCTTGGTCTGGTTGTCGGCATGCTGGTTGAAACACTTCTTTTCATTGTTAGAACTAGTAGTCTGGATGGAAGATCGAAAACCATTTCCAAGGCAAAAAAGAATCAGTAAAACCATTGCAACACAAAAGATGGTTTTCTGCCCCTTTTCTCCCTAGCATTTTTGAAAATTCTTGATTGTATGTATTACTCTCTGTTAATTGCAGAATTTGCTCAATGGCAATGTTATGAACTTGTTGCACATTAACTATAACGTGTGTTTGTTATATGAATTAAACTGAAGGTACATTATACATGCATTAAAAAAGTTATGTGCATATGAGTGTGTACCCTTTGGGTTCGGAACATGCATGGCTTCAACAAAGGCCTCACATATACTTTTTTCGTGTCTTTCGTAGATCTTCTCATTAATCTTTTTTATTTAATTTTCATAGATCTTTTCATTAGCCCTTTTAATATTTAAAATATCACAACTGCTTCCACTTACATTATTTATTATACCTCACGCACCTCAATAAATATACTCTAGCCATTCTCATTAGAGATGTTTTGGTAAACTTTCATTTCTTTCAATTCTCTTTAAAAATCACAAAAAATCAAAATGAGAACATCTTTGGGGCCCATGCCTTTTACTAGTAAAAATTAGTACCACCTTTTAGTACTAGAAGGTATGTTCCATATCACTATTATTTTTTTACTTTATATAAAAAAAATAAATTCCTTTTACTAAAGAATAAATAAAATTAATAATAAAAAATATTTGTGAATAAGTAAATAATTAAACAAAAAAAATTATATTTTTTCACATCACCATTATTTCTTTATTCATATCTAATTAGTTATTTCTTTTTACGTAATAAATATTTTAAACAAACAAAAGAATATTTTAAAAAATAGAAATAAGTAATAAGACAAAACAAAAATAAAATAACAATTTTACCTGAAAAGGAGACCACAGTAAAAAAAAGAAAAAGAAAAAAAGGGGGTGCATCCGTGGGGAAGGATGTCATGCGAATAAAAAAAATATTTCTAAAATTTATAACTACAAACTTAAACTTTTGATTGAATTGATTTCTTGAATTTGTACCGCCACTATCAACAAATCTTACTCCCCGTGTCCCAAATTATAATGCATGTTCACTATTCACAGGGTCAAACTTTATTTACTTTCTTTCTCTATTTTTGTTAGCAATTTGATAAAATAAAATACTATTGTCACTGCTAGTTTTGTAAATCTTTTGATGTAGTTTTTTAATATGTAATTTTAATTTTTTAATTCTATACCATTTTTCATATAAAATGGTTTGAAAATAATTTCAGTCAAACATCGTAAACCGAAACAGGCGTTATAAAATGGGACGGAGAGAGAATAATATTCTTACTATGGTCATAAAACAATAACTCAAGTGAAAATCCAGCGGCTAGTTGTGCATCTCAAGCATGATGAATATATATATAGGGTAGACTAGGCAGTAGCTAGGAGGAGGATATATAGCCAGCCATATAGGCAAGACCATATATATATTTTGATTTGATCCATGAACACAACAAATATAATCCACTATAAGCTGCCTTTAATTATTCATTTACTTGTGCAATTGGATGGTGTGGAAGAAGCTGATAAGGAATTGCGTACAATCTTCTTGAGATTCATTCCCCAATTACATATTCCCTTTTACCATTTGAAAATTACTCCAAACTTACACCGTCTCCTTACTACGCTCAAAGTACGGAGGTTCAAAGTAATGTCATCTAAATCCCCAAAACTCTAATACTCCGTACCATATTAGAGAAATCAAGTCAACTCAATTTTGTTTATTTCTGCGTTTCCATTGATTATTTGATAAAATAAAATATTCTTGATACCTCTTATTTCGAAGAACTTTTCATGTAGTTTTTTGATATGTAATTTTTTTATTTCTATACCAATATGTAAATAAAATGAATTGAAAAACTTGATATTTTGCCTCGAGAATACAAGTATGACAAATATTTAGAAACGGAGGGAGTAGGACTTAAAGAGTCCTCGGAATCAATGATTTTAAATACGAACCAGAGGTCGACCCGACGGGAAGGACGGGTCCTGGGTCAATCCAGATTTTTTCATCTCAACCTAGTTTTTTCCAAGTTTTCTGGGTTTTGGGGGGATTGGACCGGACCGATTGTGTGTTCGGGTCACAATTCGATCGGTCGAACCGCCCGATCCAGTCCGGGTTTAATAACACTGCTCGGGATGAAGCTCAGTTATTTGCTCATAGAGTTTGGCATCTCTTTGTTTTGGAATGCTTTTGGTCCATTAAAAATACCTAAGACTAAAACCTATTCTTTATATTAAAATAAAACTTTCAATTTATTCCACTAAAATAGATTTATAATGTCAAATAATGTACTCTCTCCGGTCCTAAAAATATTTTCTATTTTGATTTTTTTGGCAACATCCTTTAATTTGACTATAAGTTAAACATGATATAAGTAAATAAATGATATAAAAATTTGATATATCAAAACTACATCCTAAAATAAACCTAATTATATTAAATTTATATTATAATTAAATATATTTTTCTCACAATTTGTGTTCAAAGTATGTCACTGTTTGACAAAAAAATCAAAACAGAAAATTTTAGGCCCGGAGAGAGTAATATGTAATGTCAAAAAAAACACTTGCAAGTGCAATAGAAAGTGAAATCTTTTGATATTTACAGCGTCAAATTGTTTACGGATAAAAGTATCATTTTGATATATACTCCCTCCATCCTAAAACTTTCTTCTCAGTTTGACTTTTCTCCATTTTTATTTTTTGGCTTTGACTTCAAATTTTACCCTCCTTAAAAAAATTTGAAATTTTTTTTACAATCATTCAAAATATAGAGTTAGAAAATAATTGGTGTAAATACATGAGGGTATTAATATCATTTATCATCTTTTTTTCTAATGAGATGATAGTTTTAGGACGGAGAAAAAGGGGAATTGGGAAGAAAGTTTTAAGACGGAGGGAGTATTTCATATTTTGATCTTATTTGGATAGAGTTCTCACTATTTAGTGACCAATTGACACACGTAATAAAAGAGTAATACTCATCTGCCAGACTTGAAAAAAAACAAAAATCACATGGACGTGCACAAGACTTAATGAACACAAACCTCACATGTACATTAAAAACATGAATGTAGAGGTCATAAGTTTGAACATCATGTTACTTATGAAAAGCTCAAGCACTAATGCTCATGTGCAAATATGTGTGTAAAAACAAAGCTCCAACAACCATGTTTTGATTGAGATAAATCCAAAAGAGTTTTTTTTATTTTATTTTAGCTTGTGATGTAAATTGAGCAAATATTTCTTTGGTTTTTGGAGGACTCTATACATAAGGGAAAAAATATTCTTAGACTATGAATATGTATGTTAGGCTGTTAGCTAAAGTTTATACAGTACAAATATTGTACTCTATAATCTATCTATGGATAAACTTTTAAATACTCTCGAAAAGCAAAAAATAAAGACCCTAATTAAAAACAATTACTACTCTTTTCTACCTTCAAAAATAAAATTCAATATCCTGCTCTGCATATGAATTAATCACGGGGCAGCCGATCGGGCAGTCCGGTCACCAACCGTTCATTCTGCATTGGAGTCAGATTCAAGTCCCAACCCGCCGCCGGCGCAGATGCCGACGTGGATTCCGCCTCTCCTTGCTCCTTCGTCGTCAATGCGCTGCCGCCGCCGTCTCCAGATCTATTATTTACATCGTCATCGTTATGCGCCGCCGCAGGGACGAGGAGGAATTGGTGCCGCGGCGGCGGCTGCTTGGCGCGGTGTTTGCTCATGTGGCCGCCGAGAGACTGCCCCTTGTCGAATTCCATCCCGCAAACAGAACAGAGGTGCAGTTTCTTCGAGCGGCCGTCCTCGGCGCCGTCGCCGTAAATTCTAGGTTTCTTGTGGCTGGCCCGGTGGCCGCCGAGCGCCTGGAAGGAATGGAACCGCTTCCGGCACGTCTTGCACTCGAACTCCTTGTCGCCGGCCATCAGCGGAATCCGATTGTCGTCCAATCGGGACAGAATCGACATGCAGTTGGCCATCGCCATGCTCTCCACCGACTCCAATTCCGCCGCCGCCTTACCTTCTCTCCAGCTTCGGTTCCTCTTTAATTCCACCATCATTCTAATTAATCACGATTAGGAGCTAATTAACCGGCGGTGCAGTGATACTGGTCAGTGTCTCTTTATTTCTCTCTCTCTCGCTCTATATATATATATATATTTATACGTAGTAGTCTATATATACAAACCCTATGTGTCTATATATATATATATGCCGAATTTTAAGGAACGTGTCGTACGGAGACTCTGGGAATCTTTGGGGCTAAGGAAAACGGAGGAACCAAACATGACGCGTTTTAGGAAAGTCTATGTGGAACCCTTCCAATACGATTATGGATTTACTCAAATACGGAGTATATATTTATATTCAGTGTCGTTAATGGAATATATGTTCCATTCTTATCAAATTATATTATATTTTTTTCCTTTTTTTGACTGTTCTTGGAAAAAATAATTTATACCTAATCTTTTTCTATTAGCGAAAGAAATATATCTTCACAATTCCAGTCTATTTCCATGATTTAATTTCTATTTTTTAACACTTTGTTTTACACTTTTTGCCTTTTGGGTTCAAACACTCAAGTTTATTTCAAACACTGAAATTTGATTTATTTTAGGCAAATTAGGCAAATCTTAATTATCACTAACACAACTACAAATTTTATTACGAGAAATTTTCACAAAAATATGAGTTCTAAGTCTTTTAAAATTAAAATAGAAATTTAAACTACCATTATTACACTACCATAGTTACGACATTGTTGCACTGTAACTACAACGCTATTGCTCTCGAGTCTCACACTGCCATATGTCGCTGCCGGCCACTTGAGTGCCGCCGCCTATTACTGTGGGTGTGCGGGGTGCTCCTAAACGGGAGAGCATTCACATAGAGGGAAAAAGATGATTGAAAGAATCGTGGCAATGCCATGGACTTTGCCGAAGCCCAAACATGGAGGGTGGTGATGTCGATCGGCACCGAAGCCACCTCAGCTTCTCGATCCCGTTCCCCATGCTACACCACATAGTCTTACTAAGTTCTACGTTCGTGTTACCAATTGTATCAAAATAGAATCATAAATCTTCAAAATTAAATAATTAAGAAAAGGATGAATTTCATTCCTGAAGATCTCTCATGATCGGTAGAATTGTCAGAAAAAAAAAGAGAAATTAGATTTTAATAACAGATTTGAAGGCAAAGAGTAGCTTTGATTCATTCATGATTGAATTATCAAGTCGAAATATTGAAATAAGAGATCGGAAGAACAAGGACACAGTTAAAATACGGAGTAACGGAAATACTACAGTGGCATAAGTAGTACTCCCTCCGTCGGTAAATATTTGTCATACTTGTATTCCCGAGATAAAATATCAAGTTTTTTCAATTCATTTTATTTACATATTGGTATAGAAATAAAAAATAAAATTTACATATCAAAAAATTACATGAAAAGTTTTCGAAATAAAAGGTGTCAAGAATATTTTATTTTATTAAATAAACAATGAAAACATAGAAATTAAAAAAAATTGTGACTGCTCAAGAAGTAAATGGGTTAAATATTTTGGAAGGTAAGGAGTAATAATTGGATTAGAAGATGGACTGACTAAAGGAGAAATTACAAGGCGCAACCCCAACCACACGCTTATTTCATGGACCATATCTCTTGTTATATCATCCTTCTAGAATTCTAGATGTTCCACGCTTCACTTATAGGTTCAATATATAGATCATGACACTACTAGACTAGTAGTTCAACTAAGTTAAAGAATTCTAGAGAGTATTTTTTTTTGGGACATGCTAGGGGTACAGTGTACCCCAAATGTACATCATCCCTCTCTTTATCATTCATTTTATATTGTTTTTTATTTTTATTTTTTTTTGAATTTTTCTTGCTTTTTTGTATGGTGATGGAGGGGGTGGGGGATGTTTGGGGTACACTTTTGGTGTACTCCTAGCATTTTCCTTTTTTTTAAGTTAAAAAATTCTAATTTCAAAAAAAAAGTTTAAGAATTCTTTGGAAATCCAATTTTGACCTCACTTTTTAGCTATTTTTCTTTATGTATTTTTACGGACAATCACAAATATAAAATCCTCCTATATACAATGCTAGGTGGATTTCTCCGTGAACAGTGTTCCCGCCTAAACTAGGTGGACCTTGCTGCGGTTTTGGGCCTGCATTGGTTAACGGAATGGGCCTGCATTGGTATACGAAAATGGCCTGCTTTGGTGTCTATTCGAATCTCCTTTTTTGCTTTATGTCCACTCATTACAATCTTCCATAAAGTTACATTGATAACATAAATTTGGTGGTTCCATAAAGGTGGTTTTAAAAATAACTTACTTTGTGTCACTTCAATCTATTTTAAAGATTTTTAAAATCCTCCTATATACAATGATAAGAGGAGCTTATGAATCGATGTGCAAAGTACTTGAGTGTGCTTCATTGAAATTCAAATTAAAAAATAGATGTTGTGAGGCTCAATACTTTCTTTTCCTAAAAAGACGTGATTTACTTTATGTCAATTTATGGATTCTACAAATCTTTTATTGAGACATGTGTTTTATACTTTACAGCCTATATGTGTACTTATTCACTAAAAAATCATTGTTAAGCGTGTAAAGTGGATTTCCAAATCTTTTAATTAATGTGCCAACCAACTCTTTCATGTAGTATAAATAAAATGCAAATGCAATACAACACAACTCATTCGCTGCGGAATGAGTACTAAGCAATCCAGACGACGGTTGAGGTACTGAGGAGGTGTTATTTTTGCATTTCTCAGAATGTATGGCTTACTAAAGAATTACAATGTCAAGTCATTAATTTTATTTTTGGGATTTTTTTAAAGAGTGGTGAGCATAAATATGGTGAGAACCAACCTTTATTTTTCAGAATAATCTTTAATATTGCATCAAATATTAAAAATAGGTCAGAAAGACTGCATACATCAATGTTTCAAGCAAACCAGTTTCTTAGTGTTGAAGTGAAGAAAATTTAAAATCTTGATTCCAAATATGATTAAATGGCTTTGGCAATGATTAAGAGTCTTTTTTCAATACGCCATAAATTAAAATAGGTATGGAAATGTGTCAAAAAATGAGTTTAAATGCAAAATTTTATACATACTGCTAGGATTTTTTTCAAATCAAAGTATAAAAAATGAGTATAAATATCTACCGTTGTTTATAAAAGACCCACACAAAAAATTATCCAAATAATAAATCAACCAAAAAGGTTTGATAAAGGGGTGAGAAACGATTTGAGCAAAATGATATGAAATAAAAGAAGAAAACAAATGAGACTAGAGCATAAGATCAAGGCATGAAAAAACTAAGCTGTGACAATTCTAAAAAAAATAGTGACATAAAAAAATACAGTATGTTTAAAAAGCAATATAACGTACCCTAGGGTCCAAATAAGATGACGGGAGACCTTATATCTCTGCACATCTCGGACAAAAGAACAACTGGGTTCACAGAATCAAGTTACACAGATCATGTCTAGATTAAAATATTTGTTGCAACTTAATTATTTGAAGCAGTTTTTGTGTTTCTGCGAATAGATCCAAGAAAAAGAGAGATAAGTTTTAGAAATACAAAAACTAATAGGGTATTATTAGATCTGAGAAAGGTGTATAAAAAATTCACTAAAAGATTTCAAACAAAATAGATTTTTATCTAACAAAACCATTATTTTAGCTATTGCGTATTTATTTTTAGAAAATTTAGTTAAGAATAAATAATTGATTTTGCATTGAAATAGGATACAGGGCGTGAAAGAGACAATAAATAACACTGAAATCGTGAGATCTAAACATACATACATAAACATTTTTTATTGTTACAACAAAAAATGCATTTTAAAAAAAATATGGAGTGATAGAATCATGAAAATGAAGTATGAAATACAAAAAAGCTAACCGAAATATCGTATTTGAAGAAAAACCCCTAATAGGGCTACTAAAAATATTAGGATAGGAGATAAAAATATTAAACCCAATCAAG